TCACATTTTTCAGATCAACTCCGTCTTCTTATTGTTCTATCAAAATTATTTTTATGTTTGGTGTATGTCTAACATGTTCCAGACGTTTACTCCTAAGGTTTGTTGTTTCGTTTTGGCTCCTTCATAGGTTTGGGCGAACCGAGTGTTGTTAAACATACTTCTTATGATTTGCAAGGTTCAAATATGTCGACGTTCAGTCCATGGTCAGTCATATAAACGTTATGATTATTTTTTTCTGTTAGCCGTTGCATAGTTACTGTTGCTGGGTGTTGCACTGACAGGGATTTGAACTGTAATGTCTGATTTGTTATCAATACACCTACTTAGAGTTAGACCTAAATCAACATTTTTAGGTGGGGACACCACCGACATTAGAGTTATTTTTTTCTACGTTCTGAACTTTAAGAGATTTAAGAGAGTTCATTAGTAGTGGCATATTCGTAAAGTCAGAGGTTCTCTTAAAATCGGACTCAATATTATAACATTTAGGATTATGATGCGTTTGTGAATTTGAAGCTATTGGTCTGTAACTAGGTCTTCCTGTTTTTCGCTGACATGTTGTTTCATATGAAAGAATTTTAATATCCTTGAAAGTCTTTTTGTCTCATCGTCCTGGAGAAAGTTAGAAAATCACTGGCGTCTACAAATGAGTTCACTTTGAACAGGGTCAGTGAGTGCAGATCAGGGTAGCTATTAACTCTAAGCAGGTCGGACTAGATATTTTAAAGCACATATGTGATTAGGCATATTAAACACAATTTTATGGCTAGATCGTCTTATTTTTCCAAACACCTCTGAAGTAACACGATCTAGGAAATTATGTGTCATTCATCTGATCTGGAATCTCTGCGATGTTGGGGTTGATGAGATACTTAAGCGGATTGAGAATGTATATGTAAAATGTCAACATTTTATGCCATCCATAAGGTTGTATTTGCAACTGTCATCATTGTTTACCAATAGAGTCTTTAACATGTCTCGAATAGCGAGAACTAGCACAAGCTTATCTGCCTCTGGATGAGTGGAGTAGCTCGTTTCATTGAAACTGCCCGAAATCGTATCACTAGTGATGTTAGATCGTATCGTTTTACCACGTTTGGCTGGATGCCTGGAGCGGGGTATTTCAATTATTTTCGAGGCATGATAAGAAAGGGATAAGTAGCATACGGACCGAACAAAGTGTTAGAAATAGAAACAGTGCAAAAATCAAGACCAAGGGCTCAAGATAGTTTGAAATTCAAAAACTTTTGTTTGAAACAATAATGAATGTATCGTGGATATTAGTGAAGGTGTTAAATACAAGAGAGAGAAATGGTAGAAAGATTGTAGTAGATATGTAACTGTAGAGGTAAAATAAGACATAAATGTTCATATTGGGTAAATTTTAACATGTAGATTACACCGAAAGATAGCCCCAGATAACAAACAACCTAGAACTGTCGACAATTGGTATCAAACAATCGAAGTGGATACGGTATATCGTACATATATAAACTGAAAGCCTGTATCGGTTAAAATTTGGGAAGCACAGATATGTAGTTTTAAAGATTAACACCATCTAGAATTATTATGATCCTTTATGACTGAAATATAAGAAACAAATTTTGGATTGAAAAAACACTGACCAAAAACCAAGACTGACTTTTAGTGGCATTGGACCCTAACCACACAATCCTCAAAGCTGAACACGAGACCTTTTGGAAAATAGGTATGAAAAATTTAACGCGGAGAAAACTCAATGATGAAGAAGGCGGGAACAAAGGGTTCGATTAATTCAAATTGATCAGATTTCATGGTTAGGTTTTGCAGGCGTGGTCTTACATTTCTTTTATCCATAGCAAATATATTGTTCTATATCTAGCCTAAGCTTGTTCTCCATCATGTATGGATTATTGTTACAATGCGATGAATCATGGTAGGCAATGATATGACTTCCACGTAAGATCTTATAGATTGGGTAGTTACATCATAGTAAATCTAAAATTTTAGGATTAAGTCTATTATTAGAGCAGTACTAATATCGAAATAGACCATAATTCTACAGACCTGTCAAATCGAACAGGTAGTTTCGGAAATTAAGTAAGTTATAGCATCTAAATACTATAGTATATGAAATCGTATGTAACTTTCAGGGTACAGTGCTTCATCATATGTGATCATATATTTCTTGAAGTTGGATATAGGTCTGAATAGAACATGTAAACACATGAATTATGTAAGTTATAGCATCCAAACACGGTATAAGGAATGCAACCCTTCGTCAAGTATGTGGTTTGAAAGTGACAAAATATTGTTCTATCGGATAGTCAAAATAAATAAGAAACTATATGAATACGAATTTCTTACATGACCATAATTGTATATACCATGAATATGTGAAACTGAGATCTTATCGAAATTTGCAGTTTAACTGCTGATAATTCAAAGTGGAGTTATGTTTCGTATTTTCAAGAGGTCGTCATTCAAAAAATCCTTTGAGAAACAATTGTTATAAACGACAATTGCCTTGGCTTTATTTCGGCACACTAGAAATCCCACCATATATGTCTGTCTTAGACTTAATCTCCACACATGGCGACGATGTCAACGAAATGGGGTTCCTCCCACATACAGCGAGAACTGACCATTAGATCATCTTATTCGAGCTCAAGGTTGTTATGGTCTGTCAAGCGGTTACGCCGGCGCGTCTTAATATGTCGAAGGCACATGTGAAGGCTGTTGACTCTGCAGCCTCGACTAAAAGTCGAAAAATAGACTTCGGTACATCAGTGAGAGAAGCATGGACCCTTTGTTGCAGTTATATAGTCATGTAACCCAACCATTGCTACCCTGCATAATCCAAAAAAGAGGAAGCATGGCCATTTCGGAATAAACTGAGAGATCCAATTCTTACTAAGGCAGAATTAGAAAATGATGAAACGTTGCCAACTATATTTGCACAGGAAGTACGATGGAACGCTATAAATTGTTCCGAAATAGGTGTATATATATAGTTCGTGATGTTCAGCGGAAATACAAAAAGCATTTGACACAATCTGTAATCAAACAGCTGAAGAGATTGTTTGAGTACATTAATTACAAAACAGCGACTCGCCATAAGATTCCCAACCTGACTATGGAAGGGCATGCATCTAAAATGATAGAGGAAGATCAGAACAAAGCAGAATGCATAGTAGGTTATTTTATAACAGCTTTTAGTCATGAGCCTCTTTTAGATGAAAGACTAGATCCAAATACAAGGTCATCAAACCGACCACTCATCAGAGACTTTGGTTGGGACGACTAAACAAAGGTTATTTGAGCTTTGGACACGGAAAGGCCGATGGGACCAGATGAAATACACCCTCAAGTCTTGAGACAAACTGCTCAATGTACTGCTGTCGCACTGAATACGATATTCAATATGTCACTTGGTCAGACTGTGTTACCTACGGACTTCGACTCATAAAACGGGATCAAGACAACTTCCAAAAACTACAGAACTGCCAGCTTGAATAATATCGTAGTTAAGAAACTGAGAGGGAAAATCAAAACGGACATAATCATATTTGTGGAAACCAACAACTTGTTAAACAGTGAACAAAATGTAAATAAAAATAATATATTTGTAATATCCCAATGAGTAGAAAATTGGATATTACAAATATATTATTTTTATTCATAACAATCAACCCAATGCTCAATTTATTCGGAATTATCAAATCAAACCTTGGTAATGACACCTACAGTGAACAAAATGGTTTCAGAAAAGGTTCTTATAGAATAACAAACCTCGTTATAGTAAGGGAGCAATGGATAGAGGTACTAGACAATGGAAAATCAGTGGATGTTGTCCACGTAGACTTCAGCAAAGCTTTTGATAAGGTGCGAAAAAATAGACTACTCTGCCGAACCTCTCCTTAAATGAGACAATGGTTTCTTGGTGGTTCGTATTGAGAAAATGAGAATAAATTTCAAATACTCCTAAAAACTAGTACCTAATAGGTTACAGTGAGGCTCTGTCCTAGGTCCTTACTTTTATTGCTGAATGTAAACGGACTTTGGAATAACCGTGTGTCACGATTGTAAGACGGCGCTTTACTATTGCGCGGTCATAACTAAGCGGTACAGAACCCTTTGGATTTTAACTTAGACATTTACCAAGTTAAATACTAATGTGATCACTGCAGTGAAAACTGCGTTCAGGCTGCATGCCCCTGTGTAAAAATTGACTCAAAAATTCAAGGGGCAGCTACCCGTGCAATGCCAGGACTTCATGGTTTACCACAGAGAGGCATGAAAAGCCTAATCTCATCACACTATTCCACTGTAGACTAGGAGGTATTCTGGTTTTGATGTTTAGTATGCGGAACAATGGTAGTTCCTCTTTCTCTCCTTATCAGATCAGGACAAATTGGATAACATAGCAGGTGAGTTTCAAAAGACAAGAGTTAACAAAACACCCGTAGCATACAGGTTTTCTACACCGAATAATCAAACCTTGGAAAATTTTACCCAAAGATGTGTTGTCCTCACCTTTAAATGACTTACACAAAAGTAAACTAGACACTCGCAGAGGCTTACCAGAAAGGGGCTAACAGTGAACTTAGGTCTTCTGTCATCAGTGCACAAACCTATATATTTGAATTCGAATCCCGTGATTTTAGCCAGATGCAATCTGCTGAACAACTAGCTCACTATGTGATAGCTAATGTGTCTATCAGTCTCGTGTTACTGCTGGAAAAGTCACATAAACAATAAAAAGGAACCAAAGCAAATCAGTTAGTTTATACTAGCTTGTCGTAGATAAACAAAATTGTACATTATTACCATATTTCAACTGCAAAATGGCCGGTCATAGCAGCTCAACAACCTTAGTGTTAAGCACAATAAATTATTATGATGAATTTTTTTACAAATACGGTCATTCTAAAGGTTAAACTTCAATTACTTAAAAATTGAATGTCCAAGTTGAGATACAACAGCACAGAGGCGCCAGACACAGTTTATTGAGCATCGTAATGGATTCAAACGAGGAATTTGTTGTTGTTAACGAAGAAAATGATAATCGTCGTGATGCTGTGGCCCGCCTCGATGTTCTGGTTGATTTATTTAAGCAGACAATACGTAAACCACATAATTTATCCAGTTATTTTTGTCAGGCACTCTCAATCAATCGAGTATCCTGCTGAAGGATGAATTACAAACTGCCATCACTGTAACCCTGCAAAGTAGTACACCAGATCATTCATCTACTGTTGAACACTTAGTTAAGCAGCTAGATGATATTGTAAGACTGTGCCTACATCATATTTTCTAGTCGGTAAGCCCCGAGGAAGTGCGGAAGACCTACGTGAGGCAGCTGTGTTCACGACTAGTTGCCGTCAATGAAGAGAAGCAAGTTGTTATGACAGAGCTAGTGGAATTAAATAATCAGCTTCGTAAAGCAGAAGCAGAGACTCGAGTATGTCACCAGCTCTTAGAGCTTCACTTCTAACGGACTTTCCTTTAGAAATGGAAAAAAGTCATTGAACCGATTTTGAAGATTGAAACAGAGATCAAAAAGTTTGACTCAATGCTCTCGTAAGTTTTCTCATTTTAGTACTAAGTACACATAATCTCAAAATTATTTCTAGTTCTAAAGAAGAATCTGTTTTGGACGAGACTGGATCACTTCTTAGCGACGACAGTACAGTCGATGATGTGTGCAACTTCCTTAATTCTATGCATAACAGAATTCAGACCTTGCACACTGAGGCATCGGCAATGAAAAGTAGGTCTAGCACTTTTAAAGTTTATGTGACAATGTGAGATCACGAAGTGTCGTCCGTTATTGTTTTTCTACGTACGTTTTAGCCATTCATTTGCATTTCCGTCAATTTGGTGGGATCGCAACTTGAACTGCTACTTGTACCAACTTTTTAATTCAGTTGGCTACACGGCCGCATAATTATATGTTATAATTACCTGACCGTGGCTGCTAAGTTGGTGTTCCGCTCAGGCAACCATCATGTGCAGTGATGTTACTTCCTCACGATGGAAGGAAGGAATTATGAAAGGTCGACCCTAAAAGTATCACACCTTCGGCGGTAAGGCCTTTCCAAGTGCGAAGCCTTGCGTGACCAGTCGCAAGCAGTCATTCCTTGGGGTCTGCGGTCACGTTCACAGGTCGCTAAAACTAGTAATCCAGCTCCTTTTTCAGGCTCTTTAAACTTAATGCTATATTCACGGCATTAAGTCTACAAAACTGGCCGTCAAGATCAAGAGCCATAATATACGGAAGGTAAATCACACTTGCTTTCAATACTGACTACGTATCATCATGTGCGTTGCCACTTTAATCCTTTACGCATATTTCAAAGACGCAGTATATATCAATTACATTGGATTCTGAAGTCATATCTAAGGTATCTTGTTGTCCTCCATGACATAAAGTTCGAACACCAAAAGGTTCAACGTGTAATTTAGAACGCAGTTTTGAGTTGGCCAGGAACAATTTTTGCTCTATGTTGTTTAATTGCTAACCCAATCCTAGTATTTGTAGCGCAACAATTATCGTCTTTTTTCGACCACACAACTAGAGTAAAAACACCAGTTTATTATATGAAGCGTTTAGATCCAACAGTATTCAGCTGTGAATATAATACAATATCCACAAATCCCTGTATTGATAAAAATCATGTGCTCACTAGTGACTAGCTTCTAGAGAGATTCCCTGGACTCCTAGTGAGGAGCCGTGACCAGTGGAGTCCAATATGTATCGGGTGTGACACAGTTATCCACCTCAGACCATGGTTAGGGGTTGCGCATGATCATGGTTCCCCAGTATACTCAAAACATATATATTAAGCTTGTCGATTATATATCAGTAAAAAATGATCTGGATATTTAGACTGAGTGTTTGAATTAAAATATTATTTATTTATTTATTTGGACATAAATATTAGTGCAAGAGGGCACCAAATATATATGCGCCACACAAAACAATGAGAATTCGGAGAGAAAAAAGAAGGTAAGGGGCGTAAAAAAGAACGATAACGAACAGATTAGTGTAAGGTAGTGTAATAATAATAAATAAATAATTATGGGGGTAACGGAAAGGTACAATCAGAAGAAAGCTCTCAGTTACGGAAGAAACAACCATTTTTATAATGAAAGTAAAAGAAGGCTACAGCAGGATCGCCACTGGCTTCTATTCTGAACCATATCTGATAACGTCTCTAGCCACTGTGTTGAACTATCTCTAGGACCCCAACCAGGAAGTTGCGAAGGACCAACACAAGCCAGCCCTTTGCAGCTTTCTTTCATCCCACGACACCATGTCATACGCTGACCATCTTCGCTTTTTCCAACCAGTCCCAGAGTCGGCAAATAATGCACGACGTGGAATTCTCTGGGACGACGTTCGGAGAACATGTCCAAGCCACCGAAGTCGGTGTTTCAAGATTGTGACACCAATTGCATTATCGTCTCTGTGCCCGAACACACGATGCCGAACCTCTGCATTACTAACATGGTGTTGCTACCGGATGTCAGAAATCCTTCGGAGACAACGATGATCGAACACAGAGAGTCGTCTAACATCCTCAACTCGGAGAGGCCGTGTTTCACAAGCATAGAGCAAAACTGCTCTCACCGACGCGTTTTAGATCCGACCTTTTACAGCCAGACTAACATCACGAAGGCGCCAAAGATGGACCAAATTTGCATAAGCTGCTCTGGCTTTCACTATACGTGTATTGATCTCATCACTCACGCGACCACCAGCACTTATGCAGCTACCCAGATACATGAACTTCTCGACTACTTCTATCTGCTCACCATCCAGGGTGAGTACAGAATTAGAATCCTGCCGGTCTTGTAGAAGTACTTTGCACTTTGAAGGTGCAAAGCACATACCATACCTACTGACACTGATCGCCAACTGATTAAGTGCGGATTGCATGGCTTGGGCATTGTCGCACAGGAAGATAATATCATCCGCATACTCAAAGTCGAGAAGTCTTTCTCCAGGCAACAGATCCACACCGCCATTACTTACATCCATCAGAGCTGTTTCCAGAATGTCATCGATGGCAAAGTTGAGGAGGAATAGTGAGATTGGGCAACCCTGCCTAACCTCACTGCTCGAATGGAACAATGGAGAAAGGTGGTTGTATGCCCTCTTGCAGGAAGAACGTGAACTCTTTTTAAACATAGGGACAACTATCGACTCATTCCATGACGTTGGTACACACTCTAGCTTCCAGACCTTTGTAAACAACATCGTCAATTCCTTAGCCAGAAATCACCACCATCTGTAAAAGGGGCCGGAGGTAAGTCATCTGGGCCGGGTGATTTGTAGCGCTTCAAGAATTGGAGTTCCTTGCGGACTTCCGCCTCATTTGGTGGATCAGTCGTCACCGGCCATGGAGGGCAGGACAGTCTGACCGATGTTGTCGAAGCAGCAGGCCAGTTGAACTGCCCTTCGAAAAATTCTGCCCATCGTCCAAGACGTCGATGGATGTTACTGATTGGCATCCCATCATCCTCGCAGATTGTTTTGCTCAAACCAGACTTCTTGCTGCCAGTGGCTCGGATGAGCTGGAAGAGCTTCCGGTAATTACCAGATGCAGCTGCTGCTTCCAGGTCATTAGCACGCTCCGACCACCAGGCTTCTCGGTCCTTACGCAAGCTTTGGTCAATTTCATTGCGTAACAGTTGTCTTTTGTGGTCAAACTCACGGTCACTCGGAGTAGACTGACCGGCTTCAATGAAGAAACCCAGTGCTTATAAGCGGGACGTTTTGCGAACCCACAACTGACTGTACCCGCCATTTTGATGGGGTCGTGCAGTTGCAACCAATCCTCATCTATAATCTTCGGTGGAATGGTAGCTAGCCTAGAAGCTAGCTCGGTTCGATACTTACTTGCAACAGAAGTTGCAACCAGCTTGCTAACATCAATCCGTTGATGGCGGTCACTTCGTTGTCCACTGAAAAGTAAGGTAAGATTGGCGCAGACCAAGGCATGGTCAGAGTCCAGATAGGTACTCCGAAAGGAGCGGCAATCTTGTACACAACCACGCCAACGGTAGCTGATCACGATGTGATCAATCTGAGTCCAGGCTTGAGATGTAGAGGGAGGACGCCAGGTGGCACATCGGCAATGACTGTGTTACCATCTTGAAACACCGACTTCGGTGGCTTGGACATGTTCTCCGAATGTCGTCTCAGAGAATTCCACGTCGTGCATTATTTGCCGACTCTGGACTGGTTGGAAGAAGCGGAGAGGTGATCAGTGCATGACATAGTGTCGTGGCATGAAAGAAAGCTGCAAAGGACTGGCTTGTGTTGGTCCTTCGCAACTTCCTGGTTGGGGTCCTAGAGATAGTTCAACACAGTGGCTAGAGACGTTATCAGATATGGTTCAGAATAGAAGCCAGTGGCGATCCTGCTGTAGCCTTCTTTTACTTTCATTATAAAAATGGTTGTTTCTTCCGTAACTGAGAGCTTTCTTCTGATTGTACCTTTGCGTTCCCTGATTACTAGCACATTACCTTACACCAATCTCTTCGTTATTGTTCTCTCTTTTTTTTGTTGCGCTCCTTAGCTTTTTTTTCTTTGTATTCCTCTCGAATTTTCATTGTTTTGTGTGGCGCATATATATTGGCGCTCTCTTGTACCAATATTCATGTGTCCAAATAAATAATAATAATAATGACTGTGCCGATAGTTAATGCTAGCCAGAAACAGGTTGCGGTCTGTGCACAGTTGCAGTAGACGGTCCCCGTTATCTGTTCTGCGACCAACACGTCCCCATTGGTCACCTAAACGACTATCTTCTGTGCCTGGACGCTCGACCTGAGCATTCAAGTCTCCGGCTAGTACTACAATATCTGTCGAACGCACTTTCTGGAGAAGAACTGTTAACTGGTGGTAAAACTCATCCTTGATTGCATCCGGGCTGCAATCTGTCGGGGCATAGGCAGAAATGATGAAAAGACATCGTTTCTCACGTCGATTTTTTCTCACATTGATGGAACTCTCTAATCTAACAGCACATAACCGACTGTTAATGGGGATCCAGTCGATTAGTGCTGTCTCGGCTCGAGCGCTTAGTGCGACACCAAGGCGAGCAAGACCAGATGAAGATGCCACAGTGTCCACGGAAAAACACACGTAAAACAAGCTTTTCGAAGCGACAGATGGAGAGCGAATTTGTAGTACTTCACTCGAGTCTTGAGTATAGGTCTTGGATAGACAACAAACATCGATATTAAGACTTTCCAAAGACATAGCCAGCCCTCTCTGTTGTCCGACCTGCATAAGTGTGCGAACGTTGAAGGCAGCCAGTTTGAATGGTGCACGTGGTTTCAGAAAAACTGCTTCAGTACTCATATTCGGTGGTAACATACAATTTTCAACCGGACAGTGACTCGATAACGTTTAGATAGAGTCGAATTTCCCACCATAGGTGAGCTGCTGTAAGTTGAAAAATAAGGATATGTAAAGTGGGAATAAAAGAGTGAGTAAATGACGTAGTAAATAATAATAATAATAATAATAATTTTTTGACTGTAAATCGAAGCGAGAATAGGGTTTTCAGTAAATGCCATCATTTTCATTATATTTGTGTGTGAGCTGTGATACTGCCCGGGTGTCCAGACCGAAGCAGGTGGTTTTCTTAGGGGGCCAAACCCCGAGCCTCTGGCCCACAGGGCAGTGGATCATCGTGAGATGCAGTCCCATGGTAGCCAGTGACCAACGATTGGTTCATACGCCACTTGTTCCCTCAGGATACCGAGGCCCTATGTACACCATTGGTTTGGGATCCGGTTAAAGCGCCAGACATTCGCTCTTTGTTCTCTCATTTTCGTAAACAACAGTAATGCCAAGAGAAGGCAGTGAGTAGGGCTTCCTTGGCAGAGACTGTTTACGCATGGCCGTGTGAGAGCATTTCGATAGGTAGGGTGGGCCCACCCCACTCCCGACCATACCGGTTATTAAAATCCTAACAGTATTGTTCACACTGAGTAATTTGCTGTAACGGAATGTCAGCGTAATAGTTACTGGTTCGCTTGTCGTAAGTTGTAACTTAAGATTGCACAACCGCAGCAACGTTTGGTCAACTTGATTCGTTAACATTGGTTGTTCATGGATTTAAAGTCGTAGGAGAAGGGTCAATCATGGAAACATTTATTTTATTTAAACACAAGCATTAGTACTAGGAGTCACCAACTATACATGTGCCACACTTCCTCATTCGGTTGGTGTAAGGGCTAGAATACTACCAGGGCTCCCAAACTGCGACAGGATCATGGGAGCAGTAGAAATATCGGGAAGTAACAAAGGAATTTGATCACGAACAAGATCTCGGACTTTGTTAGAGGTATAAGGCCGGCCATTACTTTTTGAATGCCCATAGAGCAGAAGGATACTTGATGTACCTGTAGAGGAAACTTTATTAATTTTGGCCTTAGTATAGAAGAGTAACTGCAAAGCCCAATAAGCAACCTCCTTAAGCCGACCACACACAGCCTTTTTTGAAGGTTTCCTACGGCTTTATCTCTTTACTTTAAAAATGCCTTCCGCAGACGAAAATACGTGTAGTAAGATGAGGTATTATGTTTTTAGGGTTCACTTATCCTGGCCTCTTCTATCGTTGGGTAACACCACTACAGAAGCTAGCTGTCTGAGGGGAACATCTTACTGGTGTCGCACCCCTATGCAGTCAGCGGTGTGGCTTCGACCTCGAAACTTTTAGGTTTACAATTCTCCAACCGCCCTATCTGCCATAGCAGGACTTAGTAGGACCTAAAAGAACAAATTCTCTGACTAATATAACTCGATTTAATCATCACGATTGTCAGTCCCGACCACCACATCAACTTAGCAGCTATGGTATAGAAATGGATTATGTAAACATAATGAGTGTCAAATATATCCATTTTGTGGAATTTCTTTAGTGCATTTTGTGATTGAACATTGTCGGTTGGATTTAGATGTGTAACTTTTTTCTGTTAACTTTCAGAAACCGATAAAAGCACTTCGGAGACATACACTCAAGTTTATTTGGCGAACAAGCTCCAAAATTCCCCTGATAAACACTGCATGAACAATATGAACTCGAATGGTATTCAGGTGGATAGTCACACATTAAAGTTTGTTACTTGTTTACCAGATGAGATCCCGTTGCCATCTGTGGTAAGTTCTTCAAATAGCCTGGAAATATTCTACACTTTTGGTTGTAAAAGGTGTATCAGCTACCTCGTATATTCTTCTACACAGTATCAATGCAAATATGTTGAGCTTCAATTATATTTCTATAATTCACAATAGAACGTATCACTCCCTTTCAATTTAAGGGTCCAAGTATATAGATTTACTTCCAACCACCATCTAAATCTCAATATATAGTGCCCACAGTGTCGAGTTACCTAGACTGGTGGCCACATTGCAACATTATCGATAGCATTCGATTTGCACTAATAAGGACTAGACAAGCATGACATTGATCACCACCCAGTGATCAATCAATTGTGATAGATTTACTTAGAATACGAATTTCTGAATTTGTGTTCTTGTCGTAAAATTATTTCTGTCTTTTCGATGGGAAGTATACATAAAGTAAATATTTATCTTTTATCATTGTTATTTTGATGAGTTCCTAATTTTTACCACTCAAACCAATTTCTCTCTAAATTCAGGTTTCTTCTAATACCCCAAACCACGAAACTCCAGCCTATACTAACCTTTCAAAAGAGGCGATTGATCAGGTATGTTATGTTCTATGTATAATAAAACAATTTATCCAGCAAGGTTATCTTTTATGAGTTTATTCTGAAGCTGCACAATCTCAATTACATGTAACAAATTTTAGGTCAGTGAAGAACCTTATTAGCGCGTCCAGAGAAAGGAACAGAAATAATGCTACTGGATTGGGTAAACTACATAGATAAAATCAAAAAATATTATCTGATGATAATTTTCGAAGTTAGATAAAGAAAATGAAACAATCCAGAGGTAGCTTACAGATATTCTCAAGCGTTTGAACAAAATATCTTTTAATAACATCTGACCAATTCAGAATAATAAAACCAGGTCCCATCATACCCAGACTATATAATTTACCTAAGGTACATACCCTTTCGTCTTATTCTCTACATAACTGGATCATTGTACCATTATGTTGCAAAGTGAATAACTCAAGTTCTTGAACTAATTCGAAGAGATGCTTGCAAGTATTCTCTGAATGATACGTTTAAGATTGTCAATTTTGTAAGTAGTGTAAACGTTTCGAATAGGATTATAATTTCATTTGACATTAATTCATTATTTACGGTCGCACTGTTGATGGAAACCGTATGTTTCATTTGTATGTTAAAGATCTTATTCTGATGTACACCTTAAATTTACATTTCACCTTGTAAACCTCCACTTTAGGGTAGATATTGCCGTATATATACTAAAAAGCTGTCTAAAACGATTAGGAATATATATATAAATTTTACTACATAGTTGGTTGTAAGCAGCTGATGAGGAACGACGAAATATACTTACTTACGCCTATTACTCGCAATGGGCATAGGCCACCGACCAGCATTCTCTAACCCTCTCTATCCTGGGTCTTCCTTTCCAGTTCTATCCAGTTTCGTCCACTTTTCTCATGCCTGCTTCCATTTCCCGAAGTAATATGTTCTTTTGTCTCCCTCTTTTCCTTTGACCTTGAAGATTCCACGTGAAGGCTTGCCTTGTGATGTAGTTGGGTGTTTTACTCAATGTGTTTCCTATTGACTTCCTGATTTCTTCCTCCTCTGGGATCTGGTTTGTTCTCTCCCACAGTAGGTTGTTGCTAATAGTGTCCGGCCAACGAAGCCGAAGTATTTTGCGTAGACAACTGTTAATAAACGCCAGTATCTTTTGGATGATGGCCTTTGTAGTTCTCAAAGTTTCCACCCCATACAGTAGAACTGTGTTGACATTTGTATTGAAAATTTTGACTTTAATGTTGGTTGACAGTTGTTTTGAGTTCCAGATGTTCTTCAATTGTAGATATGTTGCTCTTGCTGTCCGGAGTCTATGGTTGAGGGCTATTCTGAATTTGTTGAGTTCGTCAGTATCCCAAAGAAAAACTGTATTAAACTTTAGTGATGTTGTCCGCCCCATTGTCCGGTGCTTCTTGGGTTTAAATTTCATCTTGGCGACCAGCAGATGGTCTGATACTATATCAGCTTCTCTCTTGGTTCTTACATCATCCATTGTCCTCCTGAAATTCTTATGATGCAGTTATGGTCGATTTGGTTCCGCGTGGTGTGGTCCGTTGAGGTCCATGTGGTTAGAGACCCTGAATGACATGGCTCAAAATCGTTTGCAATGGTGCAGGTGCATACACTCTTTGTGTTCTCCCAAATTTTGATCTCCTTATTCCTCCTTGTCTCTTTTTTTTCTCCTCTCAAATTTATTTCACTGTATTATACTCTTAAAGTAACATCTCCAAACACTAATCTTCCCGATTACTGCTTATACTCTTACTACCTCTACCACTATGGGATTTGAATCGATACCTGCATCTCTGTGCTAATGTGGTGTGGCAACTCGAACTGATGTACGTACGTACGAAGTTCTACGTTGTTACTGACTGACCATGTGGCTTTGTGTATGTGTTTATGTGGAAATATGGTGCCCCCTATGACCAGTTTGTTAAAGGCACACAGGTTTGCAAATCTCTCACCATTTTCGTTTCTTTCTCCCAGTCCGTGTCGTCCCATGATGTCTTCATATCCGATGTTGTTCATTCCAACCTCGGCATTTAGGTCCCCATCAGAATGGTCAAGTCCTTTGCTGGGCACTTCTCGACGATTGACTGCAGCCTATCGTAGAATTGATCTTTAACGTCTTTATTGTAGTCGTTGTTAGGCGCATAGCATTGGATGACGTTCATTGTAATACACTCTTCCTTTGTTTTGAAGGAGGCTTTGATGACCCTTGGTCCATGAGATTCCAATCCTATAAGTGCATTTCGTACTTCTTTGGATGGCATCAATGCAACTCCTTGTGTATATGGAGCATTTTCTTCTTGATGGCTGGAGTATAACCGAAGCTCCTCTGAAACTAGTGTTTGCTGTCCAACCTGCATCCAATGTGTTTCACTGATTCCGAGCACTTCCAGGTTGCATCGGCTAATTTCTGCAGCAATTTGGAAGACTCTACCGGTCTCCCACATTGTACGAACATTCCGTGGACCTATCCATATTTTAAAAGCTTAGTTGTGTGTGCCATGATCCTAGTTTGTAGTTTGATTTTGCTTAATTGATTGTTCCCTTTCTTTGTTCCTACCCCTAAGTTTACAAAGTGATTCTACTTTAAGTAGAGCAAGAACAAAGATTGGTGCAGAATAATATGAATTCATTTTATTTCGTTAGGTTCTCATCAGCTGCTTACAACCTAAATTATTTGAAATTCAAATTATTACAGATATTGACATGCAATAAATCTGCTAGAGTTTTTCAACGAAGCACATCCGAATATCCATTTCACTATGGAACATGAAAAAGAAAACAAGTTCCATTTTCTCGATATCGCGATGAAAAGAAGAAAGGATGGTACAGTTCAACGTTCAGTTTATAAGAAAGACACATGGAATGGTAGTTATCTTAATTTCAACAGCTTTTGTTCAATCAGTTACAAAAAGGCACTGGTCAAAACACTGTTTCACAGAACAGAAAGAATATGTACTTCCGATACACTAGAAGAGGAAGTTATGAATGGTAAAAAGTGTTCGAAGAATAACGGATACCCACTGAAATTTATTGAGAAATACGGCAAATGTGAAGATAAAAAACCGAAAGAAAGTACAGCAAATAGAAAGCCTATTTTTACTCAACTTCAATTCAAAAGTGACGATGTCACAGGATCAATCAATATGAGACTAAAAACTGCACTGACAAGAACTTATCCTGCAGCGAAATTGCTTGTCCTGTCCAAAACAACATGTTCTTTGATGCAATCAAAGGTCGACAGGTATCCCTTTCATGTTACCACCAACTGTGTATACAAATTTACATGTACCTGCCAAAGCAGTTACATTGGTAGAACAGAAAGGAGAGCCTACTTCCGATTCAAAGAACATATTCCAAAAAGTTTAGGGTTAGATGGATTGAACGCATTCAACAGTGCTATCGCAAGACATCTCCTTGATACAGGACATGAAGTTGATATACTGAAGTCCTTCAAGGTGATTAACAAACAATCAAACTCCAACCTTTTGAAATTCGCTGAAGCGTTAGCAATCAAACGTTTAAAACCAGATCTATGTATACAAAAAGAGACAGTAATAAGTCTTTCTTTACTCTGGTAACAATAACCCCCACCCTTTCTATTCATTTGCTCCTATTTATTTATTTATTGCGTCATTATTGCAACTCTTTCTGAAATATAAATTACATCATACATAACTGATTGATTTCAATTCATATTTTCTTTATTACCATTAATCAATTTTCATGATTTCTAATCACTATTTCAATGTTTCAGAACTTTCCCTCTCTAACTTTATTTATTTATTCGAATCAAACATTTTATGAGCTCATTAACTCTATCTGAATCATCGCTACATCATGATACACATGTATTTATCCTTAATCACACTCTTATGTATAAATATGTCAATATCTGTAATAAGTTTGAAATTCAAATAATTTAGGTTGTAAGCAGCTGATGAGATCCTAACGAAATAAAATGAATTCATATTATTCTGCACCAATCTTTGTTCTTGCTCTATTTAAGATAATAAAGAGAACTGTGTGTATGAAGATTCTACTTTACTCTGATTTATTATTATTAATCCAGATGTTTTGATTACCGTTCACATACTTTCATTTCAACCACACTTATCACCTTATTGACTACGTATTCTACATTTTTCGTAAAGTTTTCCTTGAATAACTATCTGTTTATTTACAGTGATGTGGTCGAATTTCATATAACTAATTAAATTCTAACAGACATATTATTACTCGTTGACCTGTAGTCTATCACATATGTGTACGATTGTACATCTTTGAAAATGAACTGGTTAAAAAGGATTCCTTTGCTGAATAAATTGTTTTATGGTTTATAGGTTATATTTGATTTTTTTTAATAGTTATCATCTAATTATATCATTGACTAGGGTCTCCTAGTATACATTTTTGCCTCTCAGAGGATATCATTTAGGACTTTGTACTTCTACAGGACTCAAACCAATAGTTGACTTTATGAATTCGTACTGTTTTGAACTGGTTGCATTTAGTTTTTTTTTCTGACTCAGACCTACTTTGTCGATATCGAGCTAGACAGTAGCTTGACACTCAATATGCAGTAGCTTAGGTGATCACTGAGCACTTGGTCTTCAACCAATAGCTTCCAGGATCAAACCTTCATTCAGTTGAGTAGTAGGTACTGCTAACTCTGTTACGAAGATTGTGTTTCAGCTTAGCGCATAACTATCTACTTAGTGATTGTATTACATTGATTCATGTTATATTCGCGGTCATATTGCTTATGCTTTGAAACGGGAGTCACTATTTCGACAACGCGAAGTAAGAACACGAAATACTAATGCAATCAAGATTAACTAAAAAAACTTGAAGAGGTTAGAACAAATACAATCATCTATATACTGATTTTAAATAAATTTGATTAGTTAATAAAAATCATATAAATGTAAAAATACATAAGTTTACAGTAAAACAAAGTTCACACTTGTCATACTGAACAAAAATGTTCCATTGTGAATAAAAATAATGTCCCATCAGAAACGAAAACTGATGTCACGGGACGTTACACTGAGTTCAAGTCATGTGTCATAAGCATCTATTCACACAGATATAAATGTCCAACATTCTTTAAACTGCTAAATATTCGGTTTGCATTATTGGCTTGATCGATAATACGATTTTCACTAGAATGTAGTAGCAGGCAAAATTAATTCTATTCGTACTCCGTCTTGTTATTTTTTGATTTCAGTGTTGTGCTTTAAAAACTATCAGTACTGACCTAAATAACTAACACCTCTGATTATTTTCCAAACCTTTGGCAAATCTGATTAAAGAATTGAAACAATGTTGCTCTTTGTCGTTGGTTATTTCGAAAATAGGTAGTGAATTAGTTTATTTCTACTTTGGACCCTCTTTGTACCATGACACATCACTAAATTTCCTACATAAAACAGGATGATTATACTACAAAAATAACTTGCTTATCTTTCAGTCTTCCAAATCTGTCTTGCAATTATATGGTGTTACTCATAAACTGAAGCAATACCTTTTTTAACTAATAAGCTTACTGGTTTCTAATTATCTTTGTTTTTATAGGCTTCACTAATGAGAAATATTGATTTGAAGGAACTTGTTCGTGAAGAGGTCTTACGTATCTTAAGTGAAAGGAATCAAGATTTTTCAACACCTAGCACAACAACTTCAGTAGCATCACTGTCAGATGATAAACTCTTAGCTCCAGTAGCTAACACATCACCTACTCAACCCGAAACTTCTGTAACACACAATGTTCCAAGTGCACCAAGTATTTTAAATCTTTGGCCACATCTTTCTTTTAATGGTGTCTCAAGTAAACATGTACCCCCTCCATTGACAGCTGGTGAAGAAGTAACAGAAATTTCCAACATCAGCGAATTTAATTCAACTCCATCTGCTCCTGACAACAGTTCAGAGGTAAATGTTTCCTCAATATTTTTTGTTCAACAGTTGTCTAGCATTAAAAAGTGAAAGTATTTTTATAGAAGTTCCATCAAACGTGAGTTGTGTCCTTGTTGTATCTGTGTAGATTCAGGAATGACATTTACAGCAGCGTGGTATCTCTTAATCAATGCAATTGTTCGGAGAAAATTAATTTGCAGATCAGCCAATCAGCTAAAACGTAGGACCAGGCATATATATATGCATCGGTCCAAGTTACCACACCTCATTAGCACAACAAGATGAACACCATATTTAGAGAAACAGTTACTTCAGTTGTAGTAATATATAAAAGAAAGATTGTGTATAAGTATGTAGTACAGAAAGGAAGGATTAACTGATAGAAAGATATAAAGCAATTTTAATTTCACTGTCGAAGGGAAGACAGACTGTATACACCGACGCCATTGTGATCGGTTCTGAGCAATGTCATCAAGAGCTCCAACCATTGGTTACGATAGTCACGCGGACTCAAAAAGAACTTTATGTCGTATTTTGATAACGTGGTTAGTATATTATGGCCAAGTTATCCTCCTAATGTTACTAAATGTCACAAGCTGCTAAATTTGAGTTAGATGAGAATTCTAATTTCACTATAGCTATCGTATTTTGATAACGTGGTTAGTATATTATGGCCAAGTTATCCTCCTAATGTTACTAAATGTCACAAGCTGCTAAATTTGAGTTAGATGAGAATTCTAATTTCACTATAGCTATCGTATTTTGATAACGTGGTTAGTATATTATGGCCAAGTTATCCTCCTAATGTTACTAAATGTCACAAGCTGCTAAATTTGAGTTAGATGAGAATTCTAATTTCACTATAGCTATCGTATTTTGATAACGTGGTTAGTATATTATGGCCAAGTTATCCTCCTAATGTTACTAAATGTCACAAGCTGCTAAATTTGAGTTAGATGAGAATTCTAATTTCACTATAGCTATCGTATTTTGATAACGTGGTTAGTATATTATGGCCAAGTTATCCTCCTAATGTTACTAAATGTCACAAGCTGCTAAATTTGAGTTAGATGAGAATTCTAATTTCACTATAGCTATCGAGACTGCTTTGTTTGGTATTTTTAACTTCTTAGGAAATAAACCAGCACAATTCATCACTTGAATAAATAAAGGTTATTTGCAGCTTCCACATTTGATCCTTGTAATATATATATATATATATATATATATATATATATATATATATATATATATATATATATATATAAGCTCCTACTATATGTAACAGGGTTGTTTAACCAACAATACTCTAGACCGCCCCCGTAAATGTGTGTACTGAAACCTTGGTACACTAAATTTTTACTTGTTAGTTATCTGAAAATGGCGGAATCCCTTCTGAACCTAAAACATTGATGCCCTCATTTTTATCCTATGTTGGTGGCTTTGTTCGCCGCCAAATACAGCAATTGACGGAGAATCAAGACAATCGTTCCAACTATGGGTCATGGTTAACCGAACTGGGTCTCAATCCTTGTGAGGAGTCGTTCAACAAACCTATGGAGAGGCCATCTGTTCCAAGTTATTCAGTTGATGAGGTAAGTTTCGTTTGGCGCTCATTTATAATGGGTTGTTTCTTCAGTACAGTCTTCATATCATGCTTTTATTAACAAAATACAGATTATTACTATAAAAAAATAGCATTTTGACATTTATCTTTAGTGTGAGACTCACCCATTCTAGTAACTCTGTATGTTATTGCCAAATGTCACTCAATTTATTTTTATTCTTATTATATTGCATGTTTTCTAAAAGCGTTGAATGTATCCATATTTCACCATTTACCCTCGACTGCTTCACTTTCTTTGGTTGTACTAAACATTGACACAGACTAATCTGGAAGCAACTATTTTAGAGGAGAATAAACGTTTTTCCATTGGCTCATTGGATGTAGAAAACTTATCAGCTGTTACACCAAACAGGACTATTCTATCTATGTTCACCTAGTCAACATGTAAATGTGAAGGTGTGAAATCGATTCTTAAGAAGTCACACAACGTAAACGTTTCCTCGAAATTCACCTCTGTGGTAAAATACTAGGAGAAAAGTAACTAGTCCTGACAAATCACCACCCGATGTGGCCCGTTTTCACAACAGTTCGCTATAATCTTCAGCGTAGTTGTTACTGTTGGATTACAGTCTTGAAAGACTATAGTTGTTTGGTACATCTTTCAGTAACAGACACTGGTATAAAACCTGTCGATCCATTCTTCAGGCGAGTAAGTATAACTATAGTTGCCCATCATTAAGTATACATGCAATTCCGGACCTATTAAACTGTAAATATTTGATCTATACATTCACATATGTGGTTCACTTTTCCTAAAGTTATTAATCAACTGCTTCATACAATTTCTCAGACCATATAGTTTTGTGTGCAAAGTTATGGCTATACATCTCATTGGGTGACATCTCTTATTAACGATACAAATTGATGATGGATGTTGCCTTATACGCGACAAGTTTATATCCGGTAAATCTATTTCATTATTCTCTTAAGACGATACTCTGCTTTTCTGAAGCCTTATTTCTATTTTTTAGGAACAACCGTGGTGTCCTGGATGTCATCAAATGTTTGCATCCCGAGCTGATCTAGAAGAACACCTCACTGATTGTTTATTGTGAATTGGTTAATCCTTTTACTTCGTATTATAACGGTTCTGTTTGCTGATAAGTGCTCCAGGATTTGTTTGCTCGTATGCTCTTTAGTATTTCCTTTGTCATTCCATGCAATGATAACTATATCGACTGGAGATCGTAACCCATCTACCATTCTCAAGATTCAATCAGATTATACTTTGATCTCTATGTCCAAGATGTCCACCCTTTATCATAACTGTTCTCACGTAATTATGAACTAACAATTATTATAATCATCATCATCATAAACATTTACCATATATACCATTGTTTTCATTTCGTTCAGTAATTGTTATTACTTCGTAATAACTTTTAAAATTTAAATACTTCATAATTTAATACATAGAGTAAACATTTATTTAATCATATTCGTTACTTATACGATACACATCATTTGCTACAAATTGTTAATCTTTATTGCTGTAGTAATTATTGTTTTATATAGGTAGACGTGAAATGAATATAATTCTATCGTAACTGTGAATAAATATAACTTCGAATTTCCAAATAACATTTTGATAACAAATAATTGAAGTGACCGGAAGCATTCATGAACTCAGAAGAAAAGTTCGATGTTGCAGAAGCTTCAAATCTCTAGAGTTGCTGTGCATATTCCATATTAGAGTTAATAATGTAATGAACCATCAGCTGCTAAAATTTACTTAATCGACCATATTCCGATTTCTTTAAAACATCAGTAATTCGAAAATTTAATCATAAAATGTTCTCACATATAATAGTTTAACTATGATACAGATCATAAAAGTTTCCACCCATTTCCAGCGATCTGTCACATATCTTGAAGAGATTTAAATGTGGCAATTACGTCAAATAATCTTGTTCATTTTAAAGCATTATAAGAACCATTGAGTTTCCCATATCTGTGTCCTTAAGTAAAACATTATAGGATTCATAGAAATCTGACCTATTGAACAGCAGTGTTAGTTCGTACATAATAATAAGTTAACTCTTTAAATTATTGCAAATCCTGACGAAGTACTCTGATAGTTGAAATTTAATATGTAGATAAATGATATTATGAGACAACTATATGACAAGAAACTAACATGGAAATACTGTAGACCAGTCAAGGAAAAGGAGAGCAAGCCAATCTCTGAGATTCAAGAACACTTCGAGGGACTCTCGAGTAGATCAGCTCCACTGAACCCACCGGACATCGAAGTAGCACACACAAACCTCCCCATAGCTGTCACTTCAACAATCGAAGAAATCAGCATGACCATCAGACAAATCAAGAATGGGAAAGCAGAAGGACCTGACAATATACCAGCTTAAGCACTGAAGTCATACACAGAACTGCAAACATACTCCACGTTGTGATCAGGAAATTTGGGAGGAGTAACAAGTGCCAACGGACTGGAAGCAAGGATATCTCATCAAGATACCAACGAAAGAAATCTGAGCAAGTGTGGGAACCATAGAGCCATCACGCTACTATCATTACTAGGAAAAGTTTTCAGAGTGTTGTTGAACCGAATGAATGATTCAGTAGACGCCCAACATCGATATTAATAGGTTGGATTCCATAGCATTGGTCATGTCTCGACTAAATCGTGACACTACGTATCATCGTCGAACAGTCATTTGAGTGGAACTTGTCACTATACATTAACTTCATTGACAGTGTGAATAGGAGAACATTGTGGAGACTTCTTCGACACTGGAATGAGTAGGTGAGAAGATTGTCGACATCATCCGGAATTTATACGACGGACTACAGTGCAAAGTGGTGTATGGGGAACAACTGACAGATGTATACCAAGTGACAATCGGAGTTACACAATGTCGCTAACTCTCTTCTGGTGGTTGACTGGATTATGAAGACCTCCAAATCTGAGGGGAAACACGGACGGATTACATGCAACTAGATAATTTACACTTCATAAATGACCTGACCCTTCTATCATATACACGCCAACAAATGCAGGTGAAGACAAACAGTGTAGTGTCCGCCTCTACAACAGTAAATCTCAACATACACAAGGGAAAGAGAAAGATCCTCAAATACAACAAGGAGAACACCAACCCAGTCGCACTTGATGCAGAAAATCTGGAAGGTATGCAGATGTAATTGCAAGAACTGGTAAATTAAGGACAGTATCTCTACAATTGAATAACATATGGAACGCAAAACGACTGAATACAAGCCAATATCGAATTCAGAATATCCAATACGAACGTCGAGAATTGAGAGCAGATACCAAAAGGATCTCCAATGATGGAGAGTGCTGGGGCCACCTATGTTCCTCCGCGATGCTTATCAGGCAAATTATTCAAATGGTAGTCTGGGGTCACGTCCGGGACTTAATCCTTTGAATTTCTGACTTTTCTCCCAGTATACGAGCCTTGACTGTCAGCTAAATCACATTCCCACTGCCGTTGATTAGAAATAGCATATCACTTATAATTTCTAAAATTAACGCAATTAGGTATTGACTAGTAGAGGCTGTACGTAACTTCGGATAATGGAGTATAGAATTCAAGAAATATTGGTTTTTCTACAAATCATCTATTTGAAGATCAAGTCAAAGTATACTTTTAGAAGTATTCATCTCATTCTACATTAATTATTCGTCATTGATACAAAGGGCATCATATACATATGCATCACACAATAATAATGAGAATGTAAAGTGAAGATAAGAAAAAGGCGAACAGAAATTAGTGTATAAGAGTAAATTAGTAATAACGGGAGATGCAAATTTACAACCAGGAAGTATTCTTCCCCTTAAGGTAGTTACGTCCATTTTTTATGAAGAAAGTTATAGCAGGACTGTCACTGACTTCTATTCTGAGCCATATCTGATAACGTCCCAAGTCACTGCATTGCAACATCTCTAGGACCTGGGCCTGGGACCAACAAAAGCAAGTCCTGAACAGCTTTATTTCATGTTACGACACCATGTCATACACTGACCACCTCTCCACCTTTTCCAACCAGTCCCAGTGTCGCCAAATAATGTAGTACGTGAAATTCTCTGGGACGGCATGACCAAGCCACCGATGTCGATGTCTCAAGATTGTGTCACTAAATGAAGTATCGTCGCTGTGTCCGAACACACGATACCGAACCTGTGCATCAATAACATGGTTTTGCCACTGGATGCCATCAATCCTCCGGAGAGAGCGACGATCGAACACAGAGAGTCATCTAACATCCTCAACTCGAAGAGGCCAGGTTTCACAAGCATAGAGCAAAACTGCTCTCACCGACGCGTTGTAGATCCGACCTTTTACAGCCAGACTAACATCACGAAGGTTCCAAAGATGGCCCAGATTTGCATAAGCTGCTCTGGCTTTCACTATACGTGTAATGATCTCATCACTCACGCCAACACCAGTACTTATGCAGCAACAGAGATGCAAAAACATCCTAACTACTACCTGCTCACTACCCAGGGTAAGGTAGGATCAGAGTCCTGCCAGTCTTGTAAAAGTACTTTATACTTCGAAGGTGCAAATCACGTAAGATACCTACGGACACTAGTTGCGAATTGTATGGCTTTGGTATCATCGCATAGTAAAACAATATCATCACTTAGTAACGACATAATCACATTAATTTTAAAGCAAATTATTCCACTTCCACACTTAATCTCAGTAATGTATACTACAAAAATTGGTCATTTTAATGGAAAATCGTCATTACAAAATACCAACAGATTTGAGAACGCTTTATACGTAAGTATAAATTGAATTCTGCTCTTTTCTCTGCTGTAGGTTAGTAATGGTAAATTTACCCGTACAGAAAATCGGCTAATATTTGCACAAATCTTTGTTCATAAACTTATCTGTGCTCATTATAAAGAGTGCACTGTTAACTCTAATAACAACTTTCATAGCTTTGTTTACCAAAGTTTTTCTCACACACAGAAAAGAATAAGAGATAAAATCCTAATCCTAGTATTCAAATAAATACTTTACAGCATGGACGTCGGCTCTGTTTCAAATCTGCAACTGTCACAAATGGTGTCCGCACTCCAAAATTCTTGTTACAGAATATAAGTGCGTTCACATAATCCAAGAGCTATATTTCACATTTTAGTCACACACATAATATTGAGAACATCATTTCCCATATAAATCCTACTTTTATTCTTAATCTAATAATGTAGTAAGTTAGTCAGTTAGATTTCAACCAACGGTATTTTCAAGGACACGTATCCGAACATAATCCAATGTATCAAGTGATGTTTCTAGTTTTATCATTTCCTGATTTATAGGTCAGATGAGATCATTTATCCTTAAGATTATTGGTGAACATTGCGCGGCTGGAAACCTCTTCACAAAGTTGCTGCAAAGAAAGTCATTTTCAGGCAATCGAACGTATGTAACTCTATCACCTTTAAAATCGATGTTTATGTAAAATATTTTCTTTTCAACCGAGATTATTTGTGCCTTAGGCGGTTTGGGTTTCATATGCTGGTTAATAAATATCGATGGATAATTGTCTTCGATAAGTATTTTCTTCAGGAAGCTCAGTTCGTTATCTATGACCTCGGACTACAAATTATTTGTATTCACTTTCGACTAATGGGAACCCAGCTGTGGAAACTTGATATTTGGCCACTCCATAAGGGTTTCCTCTACATAGATCTTCTTAACATTCCCGAAGCAATAGCTATACATCTGGAAAAACCAGAATTGTGTGACCAAAGGCAAATGGTACAACCTCATATTATACCATCGTCTTAGTGTGTCATGATTTTCTTTCTTCTTCACACTGTGTTTCCTTCACATACATCTGCTTCCCCTTCTATCTTCCCTATAAACCTACTAACGGCAACTGGTTCATATCTGTTTCTATGATCCTCCTGATTACAGTTCATCTCAATTTCAACATTTAATCTTATCATGCTGAGCCATCGTTTCCCAATGATAATTTTCTTATCTATCTTTACGATGAATATTTAGGCCCTTAACAATAAAACCATTATCAGAATATGAACTTGTAGAGATCGTAG